TGCCCTTCATCCTAGCAACCAATCACCTGTTTGTTAACCAGCTCCCACCCTCCATCCAGAACTGTCCTGCCTCCTGCTGTCAGCTCTTTGAGGATGACCACAAGACAGCTGGGGGAAAAAAAGGCTCTTAAATGGTGGGACTGCATGGGTCCGGATGGGACAGTGACTCATTCCGCCATTTAGCGATGCCCAATCTATACCTTCGCATAGTTGACTGAGCATGCCATTTATCTGGATCCCAACACACCCAGCTCCTTGAGATTCTTCACAAAGGTTTATTTTATAGATCTTCCCATACATTATGTTTTTATTGCAGATGTATTGGATTTTTATTATCTGCAGTAATGTACTAATTTCCAAAAATGGGAATAAGCCCGCACAGAGACATTATGGGGGCGATTTACTAAAACTGGCACACAAAGAATCTGGTACAGGTGCATGGTAGCCAATCAGCTTCCAACTTTAACTTCTTTAATTAAGCTTTGACAATAAAAACTGGAAGCTGATTGGTTTCTATGCAGACCTGCACCAGGTTTTGCACGCTCCATTTTAGTAAATCCCCTCATTTGTCAATAGTGTAGTCTTTTATGGTTCTATAGCATAGCCTGTTTCCAAACAAATATGTGTCCTGAAGCAACTCCTGGCAGAAACATCCAGCCAGGGAAGGGTTGATAACAATATAGATATGGTATGTAATTGATCGCTGGCAGGGGCGGACTGACAACTCATGGAGCCCCCAGGCAATAGGGAATCATGGGGCCCCTGTGTCCTTGGCCAAACTCAAAAAAGCCTATGAAAAAGGTATCGGGGCATCTCATGGGGCCCCCTACTGACCCCGGGCCCTCGGGCAGTGCCCAAGTTTCCAAATGGTCAGTCCGCCCCTGATCGCTGGTATGTAGTTAACTGTATACCTGGTTTTAACAATATCAATTACAATATGGTGGTTCTGCAATACATGCATTGTTTGCAAAGAACATGCACGGTATAGGCTGAAACTGTCCTGTAAAGGATGAACAATTAAGTTTTTTGATGTATTTTATTTAATAGAAGAAAAAAACATGAAATAGCATGACTCTGAACAGCAGTTATTGCCATTTTGTGCTGTTCTGAGATTATTAAACTGATATATGCACCAATTAAAGGATATTGTAAAAAATGTAATCAAAGCTTTAACATTTAACATGAACTCAGGTGCATCTTGCTAATTATCGGCCTTGGCTTATGCCACAGATAAGGATGTACGGATCAATATTTCACAAAGATACTGCTTGCAATAGATCCAGTGCTAGGACAGTACTGGGTGCCATAAGCTCAGGAAGAGAAGAGTGGCCATAAGGAAAAGGGAACCATGAGAGGCACTTGGAAAGTTGCCCTAATAACTGCTGTGGAGGATACTAATGAATGCCTGCCGGTACTGGGGAAGCAGCATTGAAGCTTGCATTTCTCTGTTATCAAGCTTCTCTTCCATGCCAAGTTGATAATTAATGAAGCACAGACCCCTGATGCCTGATGGCATGAACACTTAATTACTCTTGTAAATGAAGATTTGATTCAGAATGACTGGATCTAGTGTGCAGGATGACAAAAAGAGGCTTATGGACAATCACCAATGCGCCAGTTTCCACACTTTCCCATTAAAAGGAGATGTGCGGTTTGTACGGCCTTCTCAGTTTAGCTACTGTACTGTATCTAATAAGCCTGCGAGCAACAGGATTGAAAATGTACCCACATCCCTGCCTGGCACCTTTTATCCGCACAGAGAATCGAGTCAATAATAATGAGGTGTATGTCAGCCTTTTGTTCCTCAGCTTACACGTTAGCCTTTGTGAGTTGGAATATTTCATTCCTAGGAAGAGATCCCTTGAACGTAGGAAGAGAAATTAATAGCATTAAGATATTACAATAGTTAAAGTATTAAAATGCACATAATCCATCACATACATTATAGGGCTTATTTATAATGTTCCTTGCTGCCAGTATATAATAGATCTTACATCAAAGCCAGTTGTAAGAATGTTGTATATTGTTACATACAATCACAGCCACTACAGCTTTTCATTCTTGAATTCCTTTCTGGTATAGAGGAAAAACAGTAAAGGCGGTAGGTTCTCCTGGGTAGAGCTATCTTTTTTGAATCTTCAATGTAAAATAAAGAGCTTTGGAAGATATGGGTACTAAGGTTAAAGCTAGCTATACACTAATAGAATTTTGTTGGATTTTTTTCACTTCAAGAGCTTTTGTGTCAATTTCTAACTGTTACTGAGGTCAAATCAACATACATTTTTGACCATGGTGACAAGAAAATTTGAACGGGCAGGATGGACAATTTTTCTTGAATTAATGAATTTCTAATATTGCATGTGGTTTTCATCTGGGGAACTATACTCATTCCAAATTTGAATGTTAAATGAAAAGATACTTTAGAATGACATTTTTATTATTGTTACAGGTACTTATATAGCGCTGTCAATTTACAAAGCGCTTTACATATACAGTTGTGACCAAAATTATTCAACCCCCACTGAAATTGAGTGTTTTGGCCAGTTTGACATTGCTTTTGATCATTCAGTCATCTTGCTTACATTTACATTAAAGAGGCACTTGTAGGTCAGACAAATATAACATAACAGTTATAATGAAATAACCACAAATGTCTTTTCTGTGCTCACAGCATTATCAGTTTTATTCAACCCCCAAGTGACATTCAATCTTAGTACTTAGTACAGCATCCTTTTACAGTTATAACAGCTTTTAAACGTGAAGCATAGCTTGACACAAGTGTCTTGCAGCGATCTACGGGTATCTTCGCCCATTCTTCATGGGCAAAGGCCTCCAGTTCAGTCACATTCTTAGGCTTGCGCACTGCAACTGCTTTCTTTAAGTCCCACCAGAGGTTCTCAATCGGATTTAAGTCTGGTGACTGCGATGGCCACTCCAAAATGTTCCAGCCTTTCCTCTGCAACCATGCTCTAGTGGACTTGGAGGTATGCTTGGGATCATTGTCCTGTTGAAAGGTCCAACGTCTCCCAAGCCTCAGGTGTGTGACGGACTGCATCACGTTTCCATCCAATATCTCCTGGTACTGAAGAGAATTCATGGTACCTTGCACACGCTGAAGCTTCCCTGTACCTGCAGAAGCAAAACAGCCCCAAAGCATGATTGACCCTCCACCATGCTTCACAGTAGGCAAGGTGTTCTTTTCATCATAGGCCTTGTTCTTCCTCCTCCAAACATAGCGTTGATCCATGGGCCCAAACAGTTCTAATTTTGTTTCATCAGTCCACAGAACACTATCCCACAACTTTTGTGGTTTGTCCACATGGCTTTTGGCATACTGCAGTCGACTCTTCTTATTCTTTGGAGACAGCAAGGGGACGCCTGGGAGTTCTGGCACGGAGGCCTTCATTACGCAGTGTGCGTCTTATTGTCTGGGCTGAAACTTCTGTACCCACATCTGACAAATCTTTTCTCAGTTCCTCAGCAGTCACACGGGGACTTCTCTCCACTCTACGCTTCAGGTAGCGCACAGCAGTCGAAGTCAGCATCTTCTTTCTGCCACGACCAGGTAGCGTTTCAACAGTGCCCTTTGCCTTGAATTTGCGAATGATGCTTCCTAAGGTGTCTCTTGGTATGTTTTAACATCTTTGCAATCTTCTTATAGCCATTGCCCTTCCTGTGAAGAGAAATCACCTCTTCTCTTGTCTTCCTGGACCATTCTCTTGCCTTCACCATGTTTGTAACCACACCAGTAAATGTCTAGAAGGAGCTGAGTATCACAGTCATTTTAAAGCTGCCTAATTGGTGCTTATTATGCTTGATTGCTGCTCGGTGACATCCACAGGTGTTTTCAATACCTGATGGAAAGCACCTGATGAACCTCTGTTCTTCAGAGTGGTAGTCTTTAAGGGGTTGAATAATTGTGGCAATGAAGAAACCACATAAGAACCATTTACTACTGTATTACATAAACAATTGATGTCATTTTAGTTGCATTTGGGTAGTTACAACGTCCTTGTAGGATTTGATTCTGAATACAATTCCAAATGTACACTATAGTCCCTAAACCCCTTTACAGCATTGGGGGTTGAATAATTTTGGTCACAACTGTATATTGTACATTCACATCAGTCCCTAACCCTCAAGGGGCGTACAATCTAATTTCCCTAACTTACATTCATACACATACTAGAGCCAATTTAGACAGAAGCCAATTAACCTACCAGCATGTCTTTGGAGAGCGGGGGAGGAAACCGGAGTACCCAGAGGAAACCCACACAGGCACAACATGCAACCGCTAGGCAGGCGGTGCCGTGGTTGGGATTCAAACCAACAACCCTAGTATTGCAAGACAGAAGGGCTAACAATTTAGCCACTGTGACATTCATCAAGTCATCGAATGTACTGAGAATTTTCATACAAATGTTTGTAAGAATATTGTTACAAATGTTCACTCAAAAATCTATCAGTGTATTGCCAAAATTTATAGACATGAAAAAAATAATTGATCCACTTCAATCAAAGATCCTCCTGTGTATGGACACCAACAGAGCATACCAGCCAGAAAAACATTTTGGTTGGTTGAGAGGGATAAGGCTGATCACTATGGTTTTTTTTATGGTAGGATGGCACTAGAGTGCATTTTTTTCTCCAGCCATCATTTAATTAAAGCCTAAGTTTAGCTAATGCTAAAAACAGAAGAATCAGCATAAGGGACATAACTTACAGTAAATATGATGTGTCCCTTTGACGATAGTGACAAGAAAATTAGAAGGAGCAGGATGGACAATTTTCTTGAATGAATGAATTTCTAACATTGCATGTGGTTTTCATTTGGGGAATTATACTTCTTTTGTTTTCAATAAAAATCTTTCTGTGTCCTACCTCCCTCCTGTTTCATACAACTAATTGGCTGTCAGAAGCTCTCATCAAGAGTGTCCAACTATAGCAGCAAGAGATGCGCCACACAATGAAAAAATTTGTTTCATTTTGGATTTACTCATTAACCTCCCTAGAGGTATTCCCGAGTGTAGCTCGGGGTAAAGTTTCAGCACCACAAGCGGTAACCCCGAGCTACACTCATGAATACCTTGCAGAGTTGCTCCGGGATCCCTTCTGTACTTACCTTGTCCTTCTCTCCTGCAGTGTCCCCGGCAATGTCCTCCGGCTGATGCCAGCATCTGTCTTCTGGGTTCCGTTCCCTGCGATGTCAGGACGTACGGGGACGGAACTGGCGGGAAATGTTAAAATGTGAAAAAGTGACATTCACTAAATACACTAAAATCACATAGTAAAACATTACTGTATCAAACCATTTCACATACATTTTGTCCCTAGTGCTTTGTCCTGTGCCCTGCCTGCATTTTTACTGTTTTATGCCTGGAAACTGAGAAATGTCCATGGTGTCCAAAAAGCGTCCCTTTAGGTCAAAAGCGGTTTTAGACCAGCTAGAGAACAGCGATAGTAAATTAGAACCACTTGTAGAATTGAGTGATAATGATTCGTGGGGAAATTCGTCATCAGACACTGAAAACGATTTTGCGAGTTTGCGCAGTGATGTGCGAACTTGGCGCTATATTTCAAATTTCAGTGTTTTTTGTTTGATTATATTATTGAATTAAATTTATTATTATTATATTATTATTATATTATTATTTTTTATGATTATTTATTAAATTATAATTTATGATTTTGTGTTTCAAATTTTAACATATCCGGGATGTTTACTAGACTCTTGTTCGGACAGATTTCAGTGAGTTATTCCTAAAAATTACAGGCCTACAATAAAAAAATACATATTTCTATGCAATAAAATGTACCGCTTTGAGCACAGAAATACTGACATAATCAGACTGCTAGGGAGGCTATAAGGTAAGTTTACCTTTCATTACATGTTACACCCATATTCATAACATGTTATGAATACACCAGTCCACACTCCCCCGCTTTGACAGCTAGCGGGGATCTTCTCTCTCCCCACTAGCTGTCAAAGTTTAAAAAAACGTGGTCATACAGGGCTCCACCAGCCCGGCTACGTCACGCATTCACAGTTCTCTGTGAATGAGTGCCTACAAGTCCCAACAACCTTAGCAGCTGTCGGCTTGTAGTTCTCAATGAACAACCATATTGTGGAGCTCCGTGGTAGTTCATTGATTCTTCCAGTCAGTATATATGCTTCTGATAGCTAATGCAATGGTTTCCAGGCTCCTGCAACCAAAAATAATAAATGTGCATTTTTTATTTCTGGTAAAAAGGTGAATGTTAAGGTGATGGGGATCCTTTAAGTCAATCATTTTGTTTCATCATATTCATTTTGTTAGAATGATTTTTTTTCTGAGTTTGTTTTGTATATTTGGATTTGTTTTGTATGTTCGTTGTTCTGACTTTATTTGTATTTTCGGAAGCTCTTTCAGAAGATTCGGATTAATTCGTTATGTCATTATGTAATTTCAATGACTTGCTTGCGACTTTGATTTGCTTGCAACTTTGATGCGACCTCTATGCAACTTGCTTGCAATTTTAATGTGACTCTGATGTTTTGCTTGACTTTGGCCAATCACAGCAACACAGAGTATAACAATATTATTGACCTTACAAAGCAATCTGAAGTCGCAAACGAATGAAACAAATCAATACATATGAATTCAATGTTTTCATTTGTTAAAATTCATTACTATCGTCATTCAGAGATTCAGATATATCCAAACTTCTGAAAAATAAAAAAAATTTCATCTGAATTTTGGTTTGTAACAAAACGAATCACACATGTCTAATACCTGCCCATTCTGCCCAGATATGCCATTCATACGTGGAAACCATACTACAGCTATTATGAATGGAACATGATCCCTGAACTCTGAATGGGGTACAGACAGATGATTGATAGCTCTGTCCCCTCCATTCACAGATCCTATGTCATTAAGTGTTCTTGCATGGCAAGACCACTTACTGTTATCTCACATATATATTCTTATTATTATAGCCAAATTTACCACCCTAACTCCTCCCACAGTTTTTACACTACATAGACCGTAATATACCGAAACGTGCGGATTGTTCCCGATTGGTGTGCTATTACTTTGTGAAACGTTTCGCCGAATGGTTCACAAAATATTGGCGTTTTTGTGGTGAAATTGGTCCCATAGGAATGAATGGCAGAATGTTCAAAACTAGAGTGGGAGCTGACAAAAGCTAGAGTGTGAGCTGAAAAATCAGGACATGATTTCTAAACTGCCATCACTCCCTCATATTCAAGCCCACCTACATAAATCTTATATAAAAACGTTCAGCTATCCCTGCTGCCACTAAAAATGTCCATGGCTAAGCCATAGTCCTGATAGTTTTCACAATATGACCATTTGTTTGCAACTCACGCCACCCATTGACATTCATTGAAACTCCACTCTTGCCACCTCAAATTTGAAGGGCAATTTCTAAACTGTGACTGTGCCTTCATTTTTAATATTCCAGAGACATACTATGCATCACAATGTAGGTCTGGGTCTTGTGATTCTCACAATATAAAGCTCTTCGGTGCAGGATTTATAATTTTTAAACTACAACCATTTGAAGATGGCAACCGCCAGTGAAGTGAGTAAGTTGGAGCAGTTTGTTTTTAACCGCTCTTCTCTGTCCTTGCTGTAGAGTGAGTTGCCATAGGAACCCAGGTGTGTGAGCAGGCAGCAGAGTGACAAAAGCTAGATTGTGAGTTGTAGACAACTGGTGGAGGCAAGAACACTTCACACAATTTCCCCAGAAATTGTAGCTTTTCTAGTTCATAGAAGCTGTAGTACATATTAGGCAAGAAAGGGCAAGCATAGTTGAGCTCTCTTGACAAACCATATCAAACCAGACAGGGCATATCATACTAACTTTAAGTTATGTACTTTGTGCTGATTCTTCTGGTTTTAGTTTTAGCTAAGCTGAAGCTTTAAAGTGGTACCAAAGCCATTTTTTTTGCCTTAACACATTTCTCTTCATTAAGGTAAAAATGCCCCACTAACTGTCCCCCCCCCCCCTCTATTTCTAAACACTTACCTGTCTCCTATTACCAATCCAGTGTTGTCCTAGCTGCTGCACCACTCCTCTCTCTTCCTGGTCTTTCTATGTGTAGGAACCCTGTTGGGGTGTTCCTAATTAAATTTAGTCTGAGCTCTGTTTACATTTCCAAGATCCATTTTCAAAGATATGGTTTGAGAAGTTAATAAATGTTTGGGGCACCTTTCCAGACTGTTCTTTTTCTTCTGGGCCTTTGCCTAAAGAGGATGTCAAAATGAGGTAGGCTTTCTATTTGGACTATGCTTCAGTTAAGGGCTTGTTTTTGATGCCAAGGACTTTACCTGCTTTGCTGGATGGTGTTTATCCAGGGGAAGCTGGGCAAGTAGATGACTACCTAGAGGAAACATCTGTAAGGAATCTTCTTAGGTGAATAGTTTTGCAGTGGAGCTGAGTAGAAGCTACTGCTGCACACTGCAAAAGGGTTCATTGTCCACCAATCAGGGTATCTTTGATGACTATCAGAGGGTCAAGGGCCATATTTATTGAAGAGAGATCCACTAAAACTTAGGAAAGACTGCTCCTACAGGGTCATAGATGTGCCTGGCTGCTCTTACAGAGTCAACAATTACCTAGAGTCTGCTATTGAAGGGACTGCTTATTTTAGGAGACCGTGCTATTTCTGTGCTCTTCTTTGGGTATCCTGCACCCCTAAACCCTCTCTCCTAGAATTGAGTTAAGCAATAAATGGTAAAAAGACTTCAGTGACTGGCTCCCAACGTATATTTCTCCCCATTTATGTCCTAGAAAAAAATATCACTAACATTAATAGGATGATAATTACAAGTACATTAATAATCCAAATAGGACGTATTGCTTGCTGTTAGTCACAGTCTTGGGTACAAATGGTGCTGATTCATAGCAGTCCAAAAAATAAGCAGTGCCAAATCCCTCTTGTCCAAACTAAAGATGTTAGCTGTCTGGATCTCTCTGGCTTTTGTTTCAGAACAATCATGCAATTTAAATCAAAACTCCAGATCTGCATACTTACTCCGTAGGTGAAGCTGCAAATTACCTTGAAGCATTTTCAGAAGAATATCAACAATGACTTCAGCATTTAGATAATCCTTAATTTTTCATTCTTTTTTTTTTTTTCATCATTATTCTCATACAAAAACCATTTCCAGATCGTTAATTACATTTCATACTAACTTTATTCCCATTACCGCCCCCCCTATCTTTTCCCTCCTCCCCAAGTAAGACCTCCCTCCCCCCATATAAACCCACCCACTCTGCATTATTCTATTCCCTCTTATCTCAACTAGAATATAGAATATATAAATACTTCCATCTCTCTCACACTACTACTTCATATATTTCCCCATAAATTCTTCCCATTTTCTCCATTTCTTAGAGAATAACCCCATCTTGTCTTCTTGCATATAATACAATTTCTCCATCCTAAATATCTGATTCGTTCTCTCCACCCAATCCTCTATGTTCGGCACCTCTGATCTATGCCAGAACTTAGGTATTAGACCCTTCGCCGCATTCAAATAGCACCATATACCCGAGTCCTTGTATTTATTTACTGATAGCTCTGTACTATGTAGTAGACACACTTCTGGGTCCAGTCCTATCTTTATCTCAGAGATATTCTCAATTAGTTGAACCATTATCTCCCAAAAACCTTGGATCATCGGGCATTCCCACCATATATGATATAGCGTGCTTAACTTTCCACATCCCCTCCAGCACTCTTGTGTATTTTCCCCACATATCTTATACTCAACCTTCGGTGTAATGTGCCATCTCGCTAAACACTTATAGTTTACCTCCACCTCTCTCATACTTATATTCTCGTGTATTAATCTATATATTTTCTTTTGTTTATCCTCATCTATCTCTATTCCCAAATCTCTTTCCCATTTTACTATATACATTGGTTTTGTGTATGTGTCTAACTCAGTGAGGATCTTATAATAATAATAATCCTTAATTTTTCATTCGATCAGAATGATCATTCTTTATCTTTCATTTGATCGGAATGATTTTGGTTAAATTGATTTGCACAAAAATGGGTTTGCCACAACATTACTGATTTTGCTATTGGTGAAATTTTGTAGAAGTGGAAACTCTCAATGTTTATCATCGAGCTGCTTGTTAAATTGTATTTACTGTAGATTTGTTTATTTCATGTAGTGTTTCTGATATTTTTTCCCCCTTGTGTGTATTTGATACTGTCTGTACTGTTGCTTTATTTTTTATTTGACTTTATTCTCCACTGTTTGGTTTTTCTATATGTAAAATACTTTGTAATAGAATGTGGAT